GGCCGCACGGGATTTGTGTCAGGCTTCTTTAAGGCCTTCTGGAGGCCTCCTGGGCGTCTTCTGGGGCCTCTAGGGGCTGCCTCGGGCCACCCTGCCTCCAACCGCGGTCTCCCTGAACGACCAGGTCACGAGTTGGAATGTTTCGGAGGGTGTATTGAGGCCATCTTGGGCCGCCATGGGGAGGCCATCTTGGAACCCTGTCGTGCCGTCTTGTAGCTCTTTTGAACTGACTGGAAGCCCTCTCGGATGGTTTTGGGGCGGCTTCCGAGCCTCCCAGGCGGTCTCGGACGCCCAGAAGACCGAAGAACAGGTGCAAAAACATAGGAACATCTGTGTTTTTCTGCGTTTGCTCTTGGGCGTTTTCCTTGGGTCGTCGTCGGGCGTCTGGTGGGTGCCTGGGGCTTCTTGGGGCCATCGGGGGAGCGTTCGGCCCCTGACCAAATGGGGCCCGTTGCCTAGGCCCAGCAAGGGCTTCCAGGAGCTCTGAAACGCCTGGGGGGCCTCCTACAGGGGCGCCCAGGGGGTCTCCAGGGCCACGGATCCAGGATGTCCAGGGGGTCCCCAGGGCCCAGGCTCCGAGAGCTTCGTTGTCGGGGGGGCGGGTCCTGGGTAATAAACATATATGAATGGGAATAGATCTACACTTGTGTTACGATGTATCGATGTGTCTGTAAAGATACGCTTATGTCTGGTATCTGTCTGCTGTACATGTAAGTGTACATACACACTAAATACGCATACTACAATCTATCTGGAACCCACGGGACCACCCGCGGGCCAACCCACTGGACAACCACAGGAAAACCACTGGACAACCGATGGGACAACCACCGAACGGTCACGGGACAACCCACTGGATATCTCACGGAACAGCCACGAGACAACCCACCTGACAACCGAGTTGTCTTGATATCCCAAGAAGTCCCCCTCGCCATGGGCATGATGATGACCTTCGTCACCATCACCATCATCCTCCTCTGCTTCGTTCCATCCTCCTCGATCGAGAAAGCAAGCGTTGCAATGGTGATTGCCAAAGCTATCGGAGCCCATCCGTGGGAAATAAGCGCTCTGCGTGAAGCGGGTCCCAAAAAATCGCGGCTGTGATCACAATCAGAAGGAGCAGCAGCAGGAGCTGTCATTCAAAGTGGTGGCTGCCGTTCCACCATGCGATGCAACTCTAAATTGCGCAGCTCCTACCGTCCTCTGCGAGGAGTCGCGAATGTGCACACGAACAGAGCAACTGAGAACGGCTGAGTGAGGACCGCAAATGGCTCAGCTACCCCCGCGCATCGCGCTGCGGGAAGCACGGTATGCGACTACGTCGCGCACGCCCCCTGGTTGTTGGGAGGAAGTGAAGGTTGAGACTGAGAAGAGGAAGGCGGAGGAGAGAAGTCCCTGGGAGCCCTCCCTCCCACATGGCAGACATCTTCCACATGAAGTGTCTATCGCACATCGCACAGTGTCGCACATGCTGCGGGATCTAGTTGGGTGGCAGCGAGCACCCGGCCGCGGAACGAGGCCATCGATCGGCCATCGCGCGACGTTCATCGCAGACGACTCCTTGGAGACATCGCTGTTCACAGGTGCGTACGCACATGAACAGTACACACAGACATGTACAAACGAAAACACAGACGTACACGCTTACTTCTTTGTCGTAATATCGTTGACTGCTCCTTGTCCCACTGGTCTAGCCCACCACAATGTTCGTGCCGGCAGAGTAAGGGCCCAGGGGGGGGGGGGCGAAGCCAGCAAGGCTGTCTGTGGCATGTCGAGAAGAGCCAGCGGGGGGGGTAGCCGGTGGGGGACTGGGACTGGAGGACACCGACGACTCATTACACTGGTGGCGCTATGAATAAAATGTGGCGGCTTCGTTATCTCAAAGGAATGATGAGAATGGCCCCTCATACTAGAAGACCTGCGCCGACAGCAGATATCATATTCTATTTGAAAATTGGACTTGCTATTCAGATCACGGCAGCGTCCGTTGAGGCCACTGAGGCCCCTGTATGTGCCAGACGAAGGGACCTTCACCAGAGGGCACTTCGAGGCATTGCCAGAGGGCGCTGTCGAAGCCTGCTCGGACTGCTGCCAGCAGCGTCAGCAGGCTGTCATAGCTACGCTTCCATGCAGAGACTTCTCACAGAGCGTATGAGGCCGTGGCACCGCAGCCTGGGCAGGGGCAGCAGGCTTAGTCGTCGCTCCACCGAGGTTGCGCAAGCACGCTCTGAGTGGCGGCGCTCTCTGTCGGGTCTCAGCCTCGCCGAAGCTCGCCGCCATGCTGCCAGGTCGCTGGATCGGCAGGCGAGGCTGGCCACCCACCGAGACCCTAGGAGCCAAAGTCCCACTCTCTGGACAGCACAGGCTGTGCGCTGCCGGGTCCCACGTCACACTTCGGCAACGGCGGCTGCTGAGGCCGAGCCATCGCTGACCGCATCTCGTGCGCAGCCCCCCCCCCGACGGTTGCCCACGCAGGTAGTCAAAATGACCACGCAGGTGCACATCTCGTGCGCATCTCGTGCGAAGCGCAGGTAGTCAGAATGACCACGCAGGGGCACGGGCCACCGACTTCTGGGCGCTGCGGAGCCCTCCTGGGCGCCCCCGGGGCATGTCGCACGACTCGCCCGGGGGCCTCGGAGCCGTGGCTGCAGGTGGCCACGTGTGAATCCCCACCCCTCCACCCCCCACGATGTCGAAGGGGGGGGTGGGGGTCCACTCTGCTCGGGAGCTCCCGAAGCGAGTGAACCCCCCCATACCAGCCCCTGGAAGTCGTGGGGGGTGGGGGCAGGGCTGCACACGTGGCCACAGGCAGGGGTCGAAGCTTCTGTCGGGACATGGTGGGGGCCCGCCCGTGGCACTTCTGGTGGGCTCCTGCAGAAAGGGTCGTGGCCGCCTGGGCCAAACATGCACCTGGCATGGAGGCGAGGTCACGGCTCCCCAGTGAGTTGTGAAGGGAGGTCTTGGGCGAGATGGTTGCCAGACCAGGCCAGGCGCCATCGGGCCCCCCCGTCCCCCCTGTGGGACTCTTCTGCTGCCCTTTTCTCCCCCCACCGTTGGAGACCTCGAGCGAAACGCTTCTTCTTGTTGGCTTGTCCCGAGGAAGCGAAAGCCGCAAGTTGGCCTGGAAACCTCGAGCGAAACGCTATGAGGGAATGAGAAAGAGTGGCTCCCAGGAGCGGGCAGCGCTTGGCTCGCGGGTGCCCAGCGTCCAGGGACGGGGGGGCTCTGCTCCGCATGGCTGGGGAGGGTGGAGGGGAAGGCGCGGATGGGAAGGAGAAAGAACGGGGCGGCAAGGAAGAAACAGAGGGCGCAGCGGGAGAGAGGATTCTCAGGCAGCCGCCTGTGAACCATCCCCCATACGAGTAGAAATCTGTGGGGTGGGGGGGAATGGCAGGAGCCAGGAATAGCGAGCGTGCGCGAGCGAAGCGAGCCCTCGCCGGTGGACCCCCGCAGATGGCAGCTCAGACTTCACCACCGTGAGCTGCGAATTCTGTGAAAAGCCCCCACCCCCTGGTCGGGTCTTCGTCAACGGGGGGGAGGGCAATAGTCGTGGGGTGAGGAGACGTCCTCCTCTCGTGCACCTGTCAGGCCCACCGTACCAGTCCAGGGGTCGTTTGGCAACCCTTTAGGGCCACCTTCCTGGTATTCCTCGGTCCCCCTGCGATTCTTACCGCCCCGTTAGCGTCCAGCCAACCCATGCCGTGCCATGCGACGGCTCCGCTCTGGCACTCCACAAGTGCCACGCGCGAGGCAGTCGCACTCCCACCTCTCCCCGCGCTCACTCGGCAAGTCGGGTGAAGCAGTGGGTTGGCGCAGATCTCTTCACAACAGCGAACAATGCGCGGGCACAGCCTCCTCCTCATCCTCCTCCTCCTCTTCCTCCTCCTCCTTTACGTGGACAGTGGGGGGAGGCAGCAGGGGGAACAGCGATGGCGAACAGATGGGAAGAAACGCGCGGGAGGTTCGCCTGTGGGCGGCCGACAGCGAGGGGGAAACCAGTCGGAGACGGAGGAGGGGCAGTGGTGGCGCAACTTCCCCAGCGGTGTCCTCATCGCACCTCCACCCACCAAACAACTAAATGGGGAGATGTCACGAGCATCAAATACTGCGCAATCTCACCACCCGCGCCGCCCCGCCCCCACCAAATAAGTTCAAACAACAAAGAAAAATCGATGTTGCCCGCGCCCCCCCACACACACACACACACACACACACACACACACACACACACACACACACACACGCGCGCGCGCGCACACATACACACATCACACACACACACACACATACACTAATAGGAAGACCACCATCACCATCAATGAATACCCTGGCGCGCGATTCCAATTCACATTGAATGGTTGCTTGCCCCCTTCCACGAACATCCACACACCATCGCATCCCCACCTGGCATCCAACTCAGCACATCCAGCCACCGAACATCCGAATCATGGTGGTTCACGATTCGGCTAGCTTCCCCACGCTTGTCAAGCATAGCTTCTTCGCTTCATTCGTAGCCCCCACTTGCCCGACAACTAAACATACTTCCAACAAACACTCAAATTTAACAGCGGCGTATCGGCTTACGGCTTGCGCCAGGCAAACCACTCACGCATTGTGAAGTGGTATTGCTGCATGCCCTACGTATGCACGTACGCATTACAACGGGGGTGCGCAATACTGCCAATCCTTCGGCAAGCCTTAGTTGTCCAAGAAGTCCGGATGGAGCAATAAAAGAACGATTTGGTAATGCTAGTAGTGACGTGAGGGGGGAGACAGCGAGGGAGAGAGAAAGAGAGAGAGAGAGAGAGAGAACAAACAAAAGCAGGGAGGAGAGGCACGCCGAAAGGGAAAATCATGCAAGGCGATGACGGGAAGCGCACGCATAATTACATAGCAGAGCTTCGCGTGGCGATAACACATGGGGTCATAGAGACTGGAAGCAGTGACACCACGACGAGCGCTTCCTGGGAGGCGATAAAAGAGCAGCGCCATAGTGCCAC